CGTAGATGCGTAAAAATGATGTAGGTATTTTTGAATTAGATTATCTATGTATATTGATGTAATAAATCTCAGTTTATAAATATTAAATTCGCTTAATTTTAATTTAAGATTTTTCACGATCACTTTTTCCGCTTAGCATGCGGTAAGTCAGGACAATCAATTAGGCAACAAATTAAGCAAAAGAGTTTTGACAAAAATACAAACCTCAAATTAATTGCTACTCTCTACAAGGTCTTGAAAGGGACGCCACTTAAAGTGCAATAGAATACAACAGAAGCTATTAAATATGTGCTCCTATTGTGAGATGAAACATAAGTTATTGTGTCAGTTTTGGCGTCTAGGGATACTGTCGTCCTCAACTGTCTGCTTGGTTAATCCGTCGCCTAACCTCCCATTCACAGTGTGACATACCATCACAGTAAAGAATTTCAATTTGAATACAAGTGGTAAAATTTAAAAAATTGTACATCCGACTTCAATATAAATAAAATGAGAACATTATCAATGTATTCGAAGTCAATTAAATACGCATTATTAAGGATAACTCAAAACTACTGAACACATCTTGATAAAATTTATATGGGACCACATGAGAAGCATCAGCTTTCAAATAAAAAAGGAATCATCAAAATCAATTCACCCAGAAAAAAGTTCTGAGTTACACATAAAGAAAGTTCCTCCGCCTTTCTAAGTCGGTGCAAAACATTATATCATTTAGGGCTTAACTTTAAATCATTAGGTAAAGTTCAAATCATCAAATAAATTATAACCTGACTGAATATGAAAGTGAAATATTTTATTCATGCAACTGTAATTTTTAATTTGTTATAAATATTTTTTATCTGATGATGAATTTCCAATTATTGACACTGCCACACGTAATAATTGAACGAGTTCATAACCAACGGGAATAAGAGAGTGATGCCGACAGGAATAGAAATACAAAAGCAAAATCATTTTGACAATAATTTGAACAGGAAAAGAATTCCAGCAGTGTTTTTCATGAACACGTTTAGAACAACGCGCACTCATCATCATTATAATGAAGTCGTTAGGTATATTCGTAATATTAGAAATGATCGCGCGCTTTGAGAATTCATAGGAGATTTTGTAAATTGCTCTATATGTGTGACCTCTTTGTAGCTGATTGGATAGAACTTATTAACATCGTCCACGCTATGCCACTTGTGGCGTAATTAATAATGTGGTTGGTTACACTTATCTGTTCCACGTATCAAAAATGACCTTTATACATTAAAGGTAACTTTACAGATTTAGCAACTAAAAAAATATAAAAAAAAACTTGACAGGAAATGCGTCAGTTTAAAAAGCGACAGTAGCCTATTCTAACGCTGCGGGTCGCGAACTCAAGGGTCGTGGGTTCGATTCCGCCATCACTACTGACGCCATACTACTGTCGTAACACAGACATTAGAGCTTAACAGGAGTGGTTAAAAGGTATATTAGAATTATTATAGCATTGATAAAATTCAAAATAAAAACCGACCACGAGCTCTATGGATCAGATCAGAACAGAATCTATGGCTGTAAGGATTACATCATCCACATTCTATCTAATATAAAGAAAATGATCATTTCACTGCTGAGTAAATTCTCAAATTGATGCCGTTACTTCTAGCTGGCAGCTGGCGGATTGACTGTCAGAATACGGACTTTCCACCAACGCACAATCAGACGCCAGACGGTTCCTGACCGCTTGTTTTTAACATTACTAAACTGAATTCGAACTAAACGGTTCGCTTTGCAGTTCATACAGCAAAGGAGTGCATTAGTTTGACTGCAACTGTCTTCCTATCTGTTTAATAATAGTATGGGAGGGAGCCCATGATCCTAAATGGGGAGCGTCGTGGGGACCTATCAGATTTTGTAGATTAGTTGATAGGAAGAAAAAACAGTTATGTAATGGTTCCCCTCACGGTGGTGAGGGAAGCGTCTACAAATTTGCAAAAATGTAAAAACTGCTACAAACTACTACTGATGTTTAAAAATTTAATTCCAGCGTGTCAGATATTTAAAAGGGATGTTAAGTGAACCCCAACAATGTTTCTATTCAAAAGACTGACGATTCGGAAGTGACGCAAACTCTTAGCGAATTTATGAAAATGCGAAAAAATCGCCATATTAAAAATCGAGCGTGGTCAGATTATTATACAGAAGGCTCAACTTGAGGTCCCAGTTGTAGTAGCTTAAAATCTGACGATTATTTTGAGGGATATTAATAACATGACTGCTTAAAATATTTTTTTTATTTTTTTTATGAACTTCTTTCTCAATAACCATAAAATGTGACTGAATGTGTGGGGATGGCACGAGAGAGTCAAAAATAGGAAAAGGGTGAAAAGGAGAGAGGCGCGGAGTGGAGTATACATTTTTTACTCCAGCTGCACGCTTTCATCTTCATAGATGATTTTTACTATTTCAGCTTGTGGAAATAGACAGATTAAGCTTTTTCTTGTTATTCCTTCAAAATAAAACATAAAAAACAAAAAGATTGATGACTGTAGTCCGTTGATGATTAATGGCATAAAAATTAATAAGACGAATCAAGAAAAGTATCTAGGTCTTATTTTAGACAGTAAATTAACTTGGCTCCCGCACATTCTAAAAAACAAATCCAAGCTGACATCTCTAATGGGTATATGTATATAAAGCTTTAGGTATTGCGCGCTGTCTTCCAGCTTCTGTTCCGTTATACGACTTATAATACCATTATTAAACCACAAATCGATTATTTAGTAGAAATATGGGGTTATGCAGCCAAAACTAATATAGCAACATTACAAACTGCCTAAAATAAATTATTAAAAGTATTATTTCATTTCGATTATCTTACACCGACAGAGAAACTTTATAAACAAATTAATGTAATGAACATATCATAAACATATATGTACCAAAATTGTATACTAATTCGGAAAATTTTAAATAAAGATATACTTACACACGAATATAACTTTACCAAAAAGAATACAACTACACAAAATGAAACTTAGGCGAAACAACGATATCGAATTAATAACATCGCGAACAAATTTCGTAAAAAAATGTATAATGTATGAAGGTTCCCAAATATATAACAAATTACCTAAAGATATAAGAGACTCAAAATCAATGCACACATTTAAAAGACTACTTAAGTATCACTTAATGAAAGAGTAAGCACACTTATACATATATAAATAATATAATATGTGTGTATATATATTAGTATATTATGTATAGAGATATATATGTATGAATAATTTCATTTTTCAATAACTGGTATAAATAAATACATAATATAACATCAATTATTTAAGTTACTTTGAAATAATATAAATGTTACAACAGCTCTTTAAAAATATTTTTTCATACATGACACTTAATCAGATTTTTCCTATCAAAACTAATCTACCATATATAACACTTAGTTTATGCGAGTCACATTGTGCTTATCTGTGTAAATCGACATTAGGAAGTCGGCGGCCGAATGTGCACTGTCGAACGAGCCATTGCTGTCGCTAAACAAACATTTTAAAACCACCTACATTTAGTTTTGTATGTCCGGTAGTTTTTGTTGTAATTTGCATTATTACCCTGTACCAATAGCCCAAACCAAATTTATATTAAGCTGGTAGATATGTAAGTATCATAAGTGAATGTAAAATTCTTTAGATAATAAAATTCTTAAAGCAGAAAATAAAAAAAATTCAACCACGTTGAGAATGTCAAGACGTTATTTTTTGCAACTTTATAACTCTCCTTCTCTTACGTTACGCTCAAATCGTCAGATTTTCTAAATGCACTCTTGTTAGCTCGTAATTAACCTTAATCTGACGCGCTTGAGCAAATCCAAAACATCGTCTCTGGGGCTCCCCTTGTATAATGTGAGTGTCACTTCGTAAGCCAATCGATGTTTTAGAAAATGAACGGTTTAAAGTTATTTATATAATTTTCCAACAAATATAAATAGACGTAAACGAACACTGTCCTAGATAATATATATTGTATTCTTAAGTTTTATGAATTAAAATGATTTGTAAGTAAATGCGGGCACACACGGACAACTTTTAAAAATTCATATCCTTCGGATTTGAATACTACTTCGGACGAGGAGCTTGTATGCTATGTATGTAACAGAATATCCCTATATCACAAGTGTTCCTGTAAACATGAAATACCACCTTAAAATAACAGCGTAATGCCGCTGCATTTCGTGTGGCGAGTGACGAAAACTAGAAGACTATTCTTGCTGGTAACGGGTTATTCCATCTTTGCTTTCGCTGTTGACACACCATCTATTTTTTTTTTTGACCAGATAAGTAGGAATCTACGGGCCACAACGTACACTTACGGACTTTGTGCTCGTTCGCTACCCTAATTAGTAAAAATCAGGATACTCGACCTCTTTAACACGAGTTAGCTGCATTATGAAATGATAATCGGTATCAGTACATTCTTCTTTCAACTTTGTTTTTATACAGATCTGAGTAAAGCGTGGAAATCTATTAATTTTTTCCTATTATCGTTACTGTAAAAAGTGTATGTTGAATTTATTTTGGTAAGAATTTGTTTTAATATTAGTTATTATAGCTTGTTTAGATAAGGATTTAATGTTGTAATCGTAAATGTTAGTTACTGAAAATTACTTCAAGCAGTAAAACAAACCCGCATGCGTAAGGCTCCGTTTTTTAGTTTCTTTTTTTATAAATTTTCATTTCTCTCGATGCGGGTATATTGATAACTTTACAGTTTTTCCGTCTACATAGCAATATACTTTTTCTACGCTACTTTGTGGTTTTCTTGTATAAGCTTTTGTAAACTAAGCCTCTACTTTCAAAGTGATTATCTTTATTATTTGCACCATCCGCTTAGTTAATGACTAGCGTTTCTTTGTATGTACAGTTGTTTTTTTCTTTTCAATATTTGGCTTGATGTTAACTTTACCTTTGCTTACATTCTACTTGACGATGTATACTAATAATTTGTTTTTCTTTTAGGATATGACGCGGCAGTCCATACCGGTTGCGACAAAAGGTACGTGGGTTTGTTTTATTTCAGTACTTAAACAGAAAGTTTTAATTTAGTATGTTGATTATTAAAATAAAATATCATTAATTTACTTCGTCATCCAGGGAGGTAAAATATTTGCACAAAATTTTTAGTTATAAATTCACATTTATCAACAGTTGTTTATGCGTGCTTTACTTTTTAAGAGAGTAATGTTACGTTATATATTTCCTTAACCCATTTATTTGATAAATAGTGATCGTAATTTATTTAGGTCATGGATGAATTCCCAGGACGTAGAACTTTTATTCTTATATGCGATTTTTTTACCTATAGTGAGGGTACCTACATAATAATAAATTCTTATATAATGCTTATTATTTATTCTTAAATATTAATAATATGAAAGTTTTTATGTTTGTCATACAATGTTTAACTCCTGATCGTCCTACACTGCTATTGGCGGTTCGAGCCTGTCCGAGAACTATTTCCCCATCAGTAGTCGATACTTATAGACATCCTCGTTATAGCAAGTGCGGGTGTTATCATTAATTATTACAAACATAGCAAAATGAATATACTACCCAATTTCGTAAGACGCGACTATAAGTAATACCAGAAAAAATCCTATGACTTCCGATATATTGCGGTATAACCATCTGGTTTACGTCAGACATGTAACATTTCTATGCCGGACAGCAGCATGATGTATGCGAGACGTCTGCTCTGCCACTGCGACTGTCTTTCCACATATCTGCATACGATAAAGCAAATATTCCCTTGTACGATGCTCAGTCTGTCCAGATGTGGTCTTGTACAGGCTTTAAAAAAAAAGGAAAAATAACAGTGTTCTAACGTCTCACAGCGCAGCAACAGCTCTATGTAGTTTCCCTCTCGGAAATTTAAATTACAGTCTTCTGACGTCCCACAACGGATCTAAATGCCTATGTAAGTTCTCGAAGTTTTCCTTCACCGCGGACCTCGTGGTAAATCATTTACCACTATGACGTAAGATTGTAATGAACAATGTCATTGACGCCAATTGGACGCCATTTGGTATCAAATTTGACTTACATAATTATGTTGAAGTTTATTTTGAACTATCACAAATTTATACAAATAATTTCGTTTTAATAACCTGAGTTGGAAAAGATACACACACATAGTAAGGTTAAACATTTTCAAAGTTCTTATATTAAAATGCATTTATATAAATTTGACGTTACACGGTTGGGTCTCAGTCTGAATATCCTGGGGTCGAAGCCCGCTGCACGCATGACAGATTCTGTTCCCACGGAATATCTAGGTGTCTGTAGATGGTGCATTGTATGGTAAATCCATTAAGATTTCTGTGGGTAAATACGCTATTATTTTCTATTGATATAATATTCTTTTATATTACTTAAGTTAATAGTATTCTGAATTTTATGACTAATGAAATTCATTGGTAGTTATTTTTTTAAATTGATGGGACTGAGGAACTTCTAGTCCATTCGACTGTAATTGGTTACTGCGGCCAACGAATTCTAAACAATTACTATACAATTACATTATAGAATACCTACTATTACCTACCTATACATTATTTATTTATATATAAGTAATTATATATTATTTTACAATTACATTAAAAATAACTTAGGTATGCAAAAACATTTTTTCTTCTAAATCAGCTCTAAAAGTACATACATACTTACATAGCGTCACGCCTGTAATCTCCTAAGGGGTTGGAAGGGTCCATAGAACAGCGAGTTACTCGGACCACGCGCCATGTTTACCGTTACAGCCTTTTTAAATTCCACTGCGGAAAATAGAACTCCGCCATAGATCGCCTCAAAGGGGGGGATATTTGCCATAGTTGCCATGGTTGGCAGGTGGGTTGCCACCGCAGTTTTTTATTATATAGAGCTGTAAATAGAAAGATGCTCCTGCCCAGCTCCTAATTTGTTTCCCTCCGTCACCTCTTACGGAATCTACGGGATGATATGGTACGGTAAAAAAAAGTATAAACGGGAAACGTTACTGACTAACGAGCACGGACCTGCTGTGCTTTATAAATATTGGCAAAACTTCGAAATCGAGGCCAGTTAGACGTCTTTGGTTCGTCACGCGATGATTCACCCGTTGCACGTTGCGAGCGGTGCTCCTTCTTTGTCGTTCGTATTACGTTAGATAAGGAGGTCGGCCGGTCGTTTGTTGATAAGACATCGCTAATATTCGCACGTGCACGTAATACGGACGGACGGGGTCAACGGTCCCGGGTCATCTGTTGGCCGAACGCGGAACAGGTAGACGCGTTACGATGTTTGTATGCAGGTTTTAATTGGGTCGTACTGTTTGGATCTTCTAAGTGGGCCTTGCGTTGAAAATATATAATTCTTGACCGTTTATCTTCTCCTGCTGCTTCTTTCTTAGCATGTAAAAGACCACGTATGAGGAAGCTGAAGGTCGTTCAGCGAGCTGTGGAGAGGACTATGCTACGGGTTTCTCCGCGTAACTAAACTTAAATCCGCAGGATATCCGCAGTAGAACCCGAGTAACCGACATAGCCCAACGGATGAACGGCTGAAGTGGAAATGGGCCGGCCGTATAGCTCGAAGAACCGACAAGCGATGGAGAATAAAGGTTCTCGAGTGGCAGCCTGGGACCGGTAGACAAAGTGTAGGGCGACCCCCACTAGATGGAGTGACGACCTGGTAAGACATGCAGGAAGTCGATGGATGCAGGTGGCTCAGGATCTTGCTTTTGCATTTCTTGGGCGGGGGGCTATGTTCAGCAGTGGACGTGTGAAGGGCTGTACTGATGATGAGGATAAAGAGACTACTGCTGGACAAAGGCTTCTCCTATTAAAGGAAGATTTGCCATATTATGTCATATGCTTGCCAGGCGAATTGGCCATTGCAGTACTAGTCGTCTCGCATCTTTGACTATGGTCTGGTCCATCTATTTCTTATAGTGGCACCACGCGGCATCCGCGGCTTTTTCTGTAAAGAGGGTTCCAGTGAAACAGCAACATTAAGCTTCTATTTTACGCTGGTATTCTGCGAGAGCGTGGCTCTTCCCCGCTTGAGCCGGCCTGTTCGTGTTACAACCATAATATAGCTGCAACGTGATTATACTACGAAAAGTTATGTACACATTCTTTATTTTTGGATCCAAATTATTTATAATTACATTAATGAACCAAGGGCAAGGTTCAGTGGCATAAAATAAAATCACAAAGTCATTAATACATTTTATATGAACAAAACTCCGAAAATAATTCGAAGTTTTCGCTACCTACTGGAAGGGGAAAAAGTCTTTCAATATGAAAAGAGAGAAAAACCGTATTCGGTTAACGTGATTTATTTTATTTTTGAAATCCATGATCCCATATCGTACTTTGTGAATGCATTGTCGCCTCTAAGAATTTTAATGAAATATCTCATCACTAGTAATGAATAAATTAAAAAAAAACCAAAAACCCGACTGCAAAAAAAGACAATTTAAAAGTAATGCACTAAAAGATCGAAACAGGATTGAGAATACAAAACAAAATTAGAATAAACTAAAAACAAAGTAAACTCTACTTCGGTTTACCAGACTATATGAGCTGAAAACCTAAGTAAAATATTAAGTTTAGTAGCAAGCAAAACCAAAACAACAACAGCAACAAAAAAAAAAGAAAGATTGCAATGAACCCCGCCATTTTGTTTATTTAAAAAAAAGATATCTAAGAACACTTGGGTTATTAAGACAAATAAAATGATATCTTAACTGTCGAAATCCATCCAGCCGTTTGGAAGATACGAGGTAATAAAGAAATTTACAAATATACAAGATCGCGCGAAAAACATAATCCTTCCTTGACAACAACGGGTAAAAAGAAGACTTTGTTTCGTCTGTCATTCAGCAAGGACATGGTCCTTCCTCTGAGATGATTCTATTTTGCCACGACTACCATCATGTATTATTTCCCTTGTAATAACGTAACTTCAATCGATTGTTACCTCCTAACCTCCTTAAATGGTTTGAATACCTGCGTGAATCAGGCACCGGGCAAACGTAGGTAGTCTATTGTTGGTTATCGCATTGTGTTGAGGCAATCAAAACTGCACGTCTACATAGATTACATTGTTAAAAGTTATTCCCGGCCATTTTTATTGTGGTCCAGAGCGTATTTCGGTCACGGCAGCCAGGCGAGCACGAGTGTTCCAGTGAAACACAAACAAACAAACCAGGAGATGGACAATAGTCCTTGCGCACAAGGACTATTGTCCATCTCCTGGTTTGTTTCCTTCTGTGGCCTAAAAAATAAAAATAAATGCCACCTGCCAAGCGTGGCAACACTATAGCAAGTGTAGGAGATATTTGCTATGAGGTAATATCTATGATTGATTTCACATGTGGTAGATTTATGCTGCAGTTATTTTAGTGGTATAGTTGTAACACGGATGGGTCGGCTCGACCGGGGAAGGACCACGCTCTCACAGAATACCGGCGTCAATTAGTAGTTTAATGTTGCTGTGTTTCATATGGTGCGTGTATAGAACCGAGACCTTTTTTACTGGAAACGAGGAATTCCATCTTAGTCCTCACGGGTGACAACTCATCTGGATTTTGATTCGTAATCGAGAATATATGTAGATATCTATAGGCCGCAGCAACCACTTACCAACAAGTAGACTGTGTGCTCGTTTGTCACCCTATTCTTTAAAAAAATGGGGGAGGCCTATGTTCAGTTATGTAACGATTAATAATATTAGATTACTTATTTTTTATCTTAGTATGACATATTAAAGTGGACTGGAAAAGGGCCAGGTAAATAATCTACATCTTTTTCTTCATCGGCAGCCCATAAACGTTGTTTTGCCTTTACCATTGACAATATTATGTGAAACATGTTTCTATAAAACGTTTGTGTGTGTGTTAGTTTTGTAATTCGATGAAATATCTAGTCCTCGAGCCACTTTAATGTATTTATGAACCTTGAGATGATAGAATTTTACGATGTTTACGACGTCTCGTTGAGATGTGGCGTGCGTGCT